AAATCAGGAAGCAGCGTGCCCTATTTGTCAAGCGTTTGACAGCTGAGTTCATTAAGGCTTAAATAAGAAGGAATAAAAGTAAAAAACGCTTACGTACCGGGCGTCTCTTTTTCGGCAGCTACCAAAGAGCTAGGTGTGCAGAGAGAGGGACTGCACCCTTTGTATATTATATTCTTGGGATCTCTTCAGTTTTCAAGTCTGATAGAGTCCTTTGCTTGGCAGATTAATGACGACTCCGTGTTTCTTAAGGGACGTGCTGAATTAATTATTTCGCAAATCACGTGGCCAGGACTTGTAGAAATCTATTCTTATCATCTTCCTTGCACTTTGAAATTCTGCCTGTTATGACTGTTCCTACCAAGATTATTTTGGTCTCTAGGCTTGGGGGAAAGGAAAGAAGAAGGGAAAAAAAAAAAAGGCAAAAAGAATCAGGGGAAAGGGCTAACAAACATGGCCGTTGGAAGCGGTGTGGCTCTGCACCGAGAGGTGCCTATTTACTGTACTGTACAGTGAGTGGGGTTTGCTATTGACTGTGCCTTTCCTCTTCATTCTTACCTTAACGACTAGCGGTGATATAATATACAGAACTGTATTGATGTATCGGGAGTAACAGGAGGAGCCATTAAACAGGAGAGAAAGTATAATCGCAGAATGTGCCTCGATATTTAAACTTAGCGAGTGCATGCTTAGGAGCTCACACCCACCCTCCCCTCCGCACACTCCCGGCAGTAAGGGCACAAGCCTTATTCTGTGCACTATGCTCCTTTCCCGGGCTGAGCAAGAGACTGGCTTTTTGGACTCGTGCCCTGACCATGCTCCAGGAGACTACAAGTCCTCAGTGACAAATACTTATGACAAAAATTGTGCAATCGACTTCTCCTGGCCAGAGGTATGTGTTATTGTCTGAGGTGCTTACGCAGGGGAGAAAAACACGATGTTTGCCTTAGGTGCAGGGGAAAGTTTAAGCTCTTCAACTTAGTGTTTTCTTGTGACGTTTCGTTTGTACTGGCTGAAAGAAAAAAGTGAAACTTACTGCTCAGAGAAAGCTACTCATTGCATTTCAATTTCAAACCTCCGTCTCTTTTTGAACTGATTCCTTCCAGAACTCACCTAAAAGGCACACATCTGTGTGGGTGTGGAGGTGACTTCAGGTGTGGCTCCTTGCCTCCTACCACACATGCATAAATCCGGGAGTCATTCTAGGAGGGCTTGTTAAATGCAAAGCAGTAGCAAATGGATGACAAGCACTTTTAACTGCAACCTAAATGTAAATATAGACTCCAGCTTGTCCTGGAGTCACACCATTATGGCTGGGGCAATCAGCAAACCTGTTCAAAGGGACATTTGGAAGGATGCTATGCAGAGCCACTCATCTTTTAACACTGTAATGATGGGAGGGACCAGCACTTACACAGAAGAGAGACCCACCTTTGTAAGGACTGCTTGTTCAAGGTACAAACCAGAATCTATTTCTCTACACCTTTTATTATATCAAATGTATATGGAGGACTTACATTAAAACTACAGGCGACAATTAGTATAAATAACGCTTTAATCAATGGCAGCAAAACATTGGCAAAGTCTATAGAAAGCATGACGCTTTAACAGAGATGAGAGTATTGCTGGACAATGCGACCGTTTAACAAAGGCTCCAATGCACAACATTTCACTCATGATAAACAAAAATAACCATCTTCCCTTCCCACACAAAATAACTCTGGAGGAGGGTTAAAACCCAATAAAAATAACCCCCAGTTTCGTTTTCCATTGGAGATAATGACCAGCGGGTGCTCCTGGTCGTTATGACAGACATTCCTGACCCTTCAGAGCACTGGCAACTGGAAACTATTTCTTTCGGTACTTTCTACCTCCAGTTCACGTATTCTCCGAGCTTGCAGTGCAATTACAACTATGTAAACCTACAGTGCCCCAGCACTTGCAAAAAAGGGGACTTGCAAACAAGGTTGTCAGAGCTGTGAGCTGACCCCAACACTCGTCCTGAAGATATTAACATTTCAAAAGACAATGAGACAAATTCTGCTCGCAGCTACATCCTTGATTGACTTCAGTGGGCGGGGGAAGGAAATCTGGAAGCAGAATTTGGTCCTTTAACTTCGGGAGCCATCTCGGTGGATAAGAAGCACAAAGCAAGGATTTGTTTATCCAAGGCCACTACTTTCCAGAACTGTACCACCGATGCCAAAGTTGGTAGCTCTCTCTCTAATAACACGTTTACCCTGCTCTCAGCCAACTTTATCACAGACTTTAAGTAAGCAGCAGGGGGTCCGGGAGGGGCATTTTCATGATGTGAGCCAGAGATTTTTTTTATTTCTTTCTTCCTTCCCTCCCTCTCCTTCCCAGATTCGTATGAAGAGCAAAAGGAGGGCTTTATACAACTCTGGAGACGAAAGTCCGCTACCACAGGAACTGAGTGTGACAAAACTTGAAAACTTGTCTCAGGAATTCCCTCCTCAAGCGCTGCTGCTAGCTGCTCTCCATGCCAGAGAAAGGAAAGGGTAGTTTGGGTCCAAAAGGTTAAGGGTTTAGAGGTCACTCTTCTCGGCTGAAATACAACTAATCGAATAGAAAATTTGTCCTCTGGGTGAACCTGTTCCTGCAATTTAGCCGAACTTCAGTAAAATACCTTTTCAGCTTCTCAACGTGAAGGCGTCAGAAAAAAGACGTCTTTACTATGTATGAACTCGGTGCTTTTTGTCATAGAAACAATGATGCGAATAATGCGGGAATATCCATCTTTAATATCACGACGTGGAGATATTCAAGTATTGCCATGTGCAAGTCTGAGAACTGGGCTAACCCTAAGGAAGAACAAAGAGTTTTCTCCAGGCTCTAAAACAAAAGACTAAGTCTTAAAGACACTTTGCGGACTTCTAGGGATGAGAAAAGGGCAGAAATTAACCGCTGGCCACAGTTAATGCTGCCGAATGCATTCCTGTTGAAAAGATCGTCTTTTATTTTGGAATTCATTCAAGAACATTTTGCCCAGAATTTTCCTCAGCGAGCCCAGAAAGCAGTGAGTCCTCGTTGGGAAGCACTCAGCCTGGTGATGGGCACGTTAACTCACCCCTTGCCCTTTCTATCTTCCTTCTGCGTTTGCTCTGGGTTTCCTCCTCTGCTGATTTTCTCCTTAGTAAAGGGTTCACCTCGTTACAATTTCGATGAAATAGTCACTCTCCCAGGCTGCCCGGAGGGTACAGGAGATAAGGGCTGAGCTTTAGAATCGCCTCTGCGGAGGAGTGAATGGCTGAGGGAGCTGGTTTGACTGGGTTGGGTAGTTACAGCGCACTAAAACTTTGGCACGATGCAGTCAGGGGCAAATCTGTGGGTATTAAACCAGCTCTGCTCCCATACGAGCCTTTCCCCTTTCCCTGAAAGAAACTTGCTGAGATTTCCAACCACTGAAGTCATGTGTCGTGGTTTGTCTAAAAACAACCACCGTTCTTAAAAAAACAAAACCAAAACACAACAGAACTAGATCAAAATAACCCTTAAACAAAACAAAGTACCAACCCACGTTGCCTGTCTCTCTCTTGGGCAGGAAAATAAATTTAAAATCTGTTTGGAAGAAAGCATTCAGCTCTGAAGGGCTCAGGTTATATCAGAAATCCCATTAATTTTTCACTCTGAGGTTTTCTTTTCAGAATTTTGTTGTAGGGGTTGTTTTCCTGGTCTTTTTTTTTTCACTCCCCCCCATTTTAAAATGAGGTATCAATGGTTTAAAGCACAGCGCTGAGCAGAGCAGACTTTGGAAACAGATTTCAAGGCTGTTAGCACTGGATGACTTACGGTAAGGAGCAGGGACGCTTTTCTTATTCACAAAGAAGGAAATTAAAAAAAAAAAGGGACAAGAAAGTTGTGTACGTTCAAGACAAGTAAACATTATACATGTGGTCATGAGACTGGGAAGGAGAACTACTGTATTTCAACTCCCCTTCCCCGTTTTTGGTTTGACTATTTTTCTTTTAATCTTCACTCTTCTATGTAACAAATAAATAAATATGCTAACACTATCAGTACATAAAATAACCCATTTTCACTTAACTCCTGTGCACACCTTCTAAGACGTTATGGACATGAGCAAGTATTCTTATTACACCAAGAAAAGTAAAGCAGCACAAAAAGTTCACCGTTACTAGTCTTCATGTTCAAATAAAAGATTATACTATAGATTTCCTGCCCTTAACTTGCCCAAATGCATCCTGCCGAAATTGCATGGGACAAAAAGAGAATTAAAAGTAAAAATCCCAGAATAAAGCATCAAACCTTCACTTTCGAATTCAAAACTGAAACACAGGACAGTTTCATTTTCAATGATTTATTTCTTTTTATGGACAGAAGGTCTCATTTAATATTTTTCCCATTTCCCACTGCCTGCATGATGTTTCTCTCCCTTTTTTTCCCTTTCTTTCTTCCCCCCCTTTTCCCCTCGCTTTTTTTTTCCCAGTTTGTGCTAGCAGAGGCAAATAAAATAAAGTCCGAAGTAGCGTCATTTTGTCTCCTTTGTACAACAGTACCTTAAAGAAAGATGACAGTTTCTCGAGTCCTTGGCTGCTACATGCAGGTTCTGCTTGGACAGTGTCAATTATATACAGTACTGGTCAGAAGCGAAGGATGAAATGGAAAATTTCACCTCTTCTACAAAGTTGTCAAGTCAGTCTGATGGTCCTTGGAACCAGTCTGTAAATGGGGATTTGAACCAGAGGAAGAAGACCTGCCCTTCGTGTTGGGCAGTTTGTGATCTTTTTTCCACTTCATTCTTCTGTTCTGAAACCAGATCTTGATCTGGCGCTCAGAGAGACACAAAGTGTGGGCTATCTCGATACGGCGGCGCCTGGTCAGGTACCTGTTAAAATGAAATTCTTTTTCCAGTTCTAGGACTTGCTGTCTGGTGTAAGCTGTGCGGGAGCGTTTAGGTTCCCCTCCGTTGTAATTGGGGTTCACTGGGAAAAAAACACGAAGAACTTTACAAAGCTAATCTTGACTTGCCGGTTCGACTTTACAAAAGAAAAACCTTAGGAGCTGCGAGCATGTGGCTGGGCTGGATTCTTCCCAGTTGCTTACAATGGAGGGGCTGCTCTCCCCTTTATTTTTTAAGGCAGGCACCACGGGCACACGCAGCTAGGTAGGCTGGGAGCCTCTAGCAGGCTCCTAAAATGGAGTTTTCTCCTGCACGGCAAAGCCCCGCATGACCAACGGCCTATTTCCTCAGCAATAAAAATTTATGGCGAGTGTAATTGGCTACCTCGGCTTTCAAAGAGCTCGTCCCCGAGTCTGGCGGGGACTCGAGCGAGCGTCGCTGAGGGCGATCGGAAGCAGGGTAGAAGAGCAAAGTAAGAAGAGGATCCTTACCCGAGTTAACATGGACTTTCTTCATCCAGGGATAAACTACTGCTGGCTGCTTAACTGCTGACCCGTTTGGGGCTTTGAGGGCCGGCTGCTGGCTGCAGGCTCGCGAGTTGGACATTGGAGGCGGTGGACAATGCTCTGCTTGGCCGGGGAAGTGGCTGGCTGGGCCGGATTGCTCCTGTCCATGACCCCGCGGCGGCACGGCAGAGCCTTGGGCATTGCTACAGCTAAAGGGCTGCTCGCTGTAGTTTGACCGTGGGTAGAGTCCCTGGTGCTGGAAATCAGAGCCCTGCGAGGCACTGTAGTACACTCGGCCCCCTGCTCGCCTAGGTAGCTATTCTGCAAATATTCCTCGCAAGGAGGAAATTTGGGATCCACATACTTAGAGTTCACCATATACGAACTCATGGCCATTAATTTCTGAAGGGAGAAAATACTAATTTTTCTCGTGTTGTCTTTTTTTCCCCCTGCCATAGAGCCCTCCTACTTGCTGTCAACTGAATAAAGTTAGGCAGGCATGTGACTGGCCCGGCCAATGGGGAGCCGGGAGCCGATCACCGGATTTCTCCGCAGCTCAGCATTTCCACCAATTTCACTCCATAATATCCCCGTAACCGAATGACCCCCCTCTCCGTTGGGTCGCACCCCCCGAACCAGGTGTCGGAGGTGGAGGGGTGCTCCCCGGGCGGCGGCCGCCTCCCTGGGCCGCAGGTAGGGCCGGCCAGCCTTTTGTCTGAGCTGGCTTCCCCTAGACCCGAGGGGTGATGCCCCGCCGTCCTATTTACCAGCCGCAATCACCACCGGGATTTGTTACCTCGCTTTAAATAAAATATCGAAAGAAATATACGGAGCGAGGAGCTGCAGCGGGATTAAGAGGGAGGAAACTGATAAGGAGGCGAGGGAAAGAAAAGCCATCAAAGAAGAGGATAATATGACGTACAATAGGTCTGTCCTGTCTTTGTCTCGCAGAGGTCATCCAAAAGTTACCAGAATTTAGTTCTGCTGAATAAAATTAGGCAATCAGTAACTCCTCATTCACTTTCAAGGCTCAACATAAATGTGTGCGTACTTAGGCGCGCACAGACGCCAACGCACACACGTATATAAATCTACACACTTGTGCATGTAAAATCATGCGGATAGCAGAGAAATCGTTCACTTTTAACAGCTAAAGTTCTATCAATTGAACTGGAGACGGCATTTAATTAGGCTAAAAATATCACGGGTTAAATTCGGTCTTCATTCATCAATATCATTCCTGGAGCACAAGTAAAAACATTCCAGTAAGGCGAATGCTGCTTTTGCTGCTGTCGTAAATATTTGGATGCGATCTGGACCCTTGACAAGAAAAATTTCCTAACGTCTGGTATATCTAGCTAATTTATGAGTATCTTTTTAAAGATTTATTCACTGATTGGTAGATATTTTTTTTCCAGAAAATTTGTAACTTCTGGTGAGATTAACTGTTTAAATTCTCAGTCTGTTAGTGGGAGTTCGAACTGAACGACGACTGAATTTTTAAAAGACGTCCCTAAAATCTCGCAAATAGTAGCGAGGCAGCAAAACTTTTATAATTTCTGAGTGTTCAGCACGCACATGCCTTTTGATTCCGTCAGTATTTAAACTTCTAACCATTTGCAGAAAGGTGAAGTTTTTGCATCGACCATATATTCCCCTAGAATCGAATCTGTGACTATATAAATATCACACAAATTCGGTTCTACAGGGTATATATAGACAACGTAATAACATTCTGTTTTCATCTACAATATAGCAGGTCTTTGCAATTCTCTTAGTCCTTACTGTCTTCTGAGGAATGTAAACTATTCTGCTGGGACTCAGTTTTGAAATACGGATTTGCAGGAAGGTGGGATTTCGGAAAAGATTCACGCTTGTTATTATCGCTGCAATAGAGTTATATGACTCTTTACCAATTTATAGTGATGAATTTCGTCTACCAAATTCTCAGAAAGACCTGCTGCTCGCTCTAAATGCTCTGCCGTTCACGTCCTCGCTACGGAAAACGGACGTTACCGGTCAAATAGTGCTAATTAGAATGGTAATGGTTAAAATAATTTAGAAAGAAGTCTTTACCTATTTAGGCTAAGACGAGTCTGAAGAGTTTCCGCATAATTAGAAATTCCACCTCCCTCCTCGAGAAAAAAAAAAAATCGAAAAAGAAGTAAAATAGCCGACAACAGAAACAGCGATTGGTGAAAAAGAGGAGATTAAAGGCTAGAGTTAGTTGCTCTCGGGAAGAAAAGAGTTTCCAAATTTACCTTCATCCCATTATGCTGGTCTAGCTATTATCCCCGCGAGCTGCCTGCGAGCCGCAGCCTCGCACCCTCCCAGGTTCTCCCCGCCGTAGCGTTTATGGTGAAGGGCAGGGCGAGAGGTCAGCCGAAATCATTTACAAACATATCACAAAGTTTCATTATTTTTACTTTGTCGACAGCGGCACACAGGAGTACAAAAGTTCATGAATTGTGTCTGACCCAGCTCCTCACTGCTGTCCTGCGGTCAACCTCTTCTTCTTCCACTATTTAAAACAGGCACCATAAGGACAAATAATGGTGCGGGTGTGATACATCCAACCACAGCGGAGGGCAGATTTGGGGGTGTTAGGTTTATCAGAGCGATGTGTACTGGTTTGTTTGCCTGCCTCCAACTCCCAGCTGCCTGATCTGGGGATGCTATTTTTAAACATCTGCTTTCTTAGCACTGCGGTGGTGTCTTCTTCACAGCAAGTGCAACTCGAAACGACTTTATGTTCCTAGTCCCTTCCCTCCTCCCCCTGGATTATTAAAATCTCCACCCAACTATTTTAAGCAGCTCTCTGCTTTCTCCTCCTTTCTCTGAGAGGAGGGGGGTCACCTGCCCCTGCCGGGGTTATTAACCACCCGGCTGAAGGAGCAGGGTAACACTTCCCACCCCCAAACTGATCTCGCGTTTGGGGCAGACCCCGGGAGTGGACAAGCCCGCTGAGGGCTGTCCGGGGAGAAGAGATAGGGCTGCAGCCACGGGGCTGTAGCAGCTCCCTGCTCTGCTTAATACTACACATTTTCATATTTGTTAGACGCTGTGACCTGCGTTTCACCTTATTGCACGACTTGCTCAGACAGGTCAAAGCCACAGAGTTATTGATGAACAAAAGCGTTATATATTCACCTCCTGTTCAACTGCCCATACAAAACGCTTTTGATCTATCAGGCTTTTTGTATTCTGCTTCATAATCAGTATGCTAAATGTACGTTGGCAGAAAACAAGTAATCCATACATTTAGAGCCGGCCCTGGAATAAAGTGCCAAGGGCATCTACACAGCGCAGGGCTGAGCTACGGAAGGGGAGGAAAGTTACCTATGGAACACAATTAAAATTGCTACGCTGGAGGCGTTTCTTCAGTTCATATTTAAAGGGCTCGAAAACCAATATCGCAACGGAAGGCAAAAAGAGAAGCAGAAGCCTGGCACAAGCAGTGAAAGGGATTATTTATCAGCAAGCAGGGAGAGGAAACAGGGTGAAAGGCAAACAAACACAGCTCCTTTACGTGCTCCTGGTCAGAGCGGAGCTAGCAGAAACAGAGAGCGCAACGTATACCTAATGAATCTTTGAGAGACAAGAGGGTCTCGGTCTGAAACAGCAGTACTAATGCACTGCGTTCCCTACTGCGGTCAGAAAGGTTCAACAGCATTTCCTACTACACACTGATCTGCTGCCCTCTCCTCGGTCTCCCCAGCGCAGTTCATGCGGGACCCTTGGGGATGCTTAAACCGCTGTAGTAAAGGCTTGATCTCCTAAGCTCAGATACCCGTTTCCTTGCGCGCTTTCACGTCATTTAAACCCACGTTTGAACCTCTTTTGCCTGCAGAGACCTAGTAGCAGAGGATCAACGCTACCGCCGCGCACGACCCGGCTGCAGCGTGGGCTGACCCGGCTGGCCGGCGCTGACAGCCTCCAGAACCCGCAGCCCACTCCACCCCTTCGCCAGGCTCTGCCAAAGGAGGTTAGCATCGGAGAGCAGGCACAGCTCTGCTTTGGACCCCGTCTAGGAGTAGCCAAGGTTATGAGGCGCTGGAACACAACGTAATCCGCCCGGGCTCTGCGCGAGGAGGCGCTGTGCGGTCCCGCCGAGTTAAAATGGAAAGGCTGCTAATTGCTTCACAGTGCTTAAGAGCAGGAGGACACCTGTACAGCCCTGTAATAAAATATCAGGAGACTGCACCTCTACTTTTAACACTAGCCAAGATTACAACATGGTACTGCAAACCGACACCGCAAGAGCCTTCGCATGCTGACTTAAGTATTTTTTCCTTTTTTTCTTGGCACCAATATTCGGTAGGGATACATCAGTTTTAATTCTTCCAGTTAGAAGACAAGAAACAGGATTCTCAAGCATCACAAACTTCACAAGAAATAAGAGGCTACTTACCGTGGATGTCCTTCCATGCTGCCGAACCTGTTGCAATAAAAACGTTTGTTACTGTTGTATTCCACTTACGGGTGATATTTCTGGAGAACAGTTACAGACCGCGTTTGATAGATGAAGGCAGAGAGGAGCTGATGGTAAATCCTGCGAGCAGCGGAGTGGTGGGATGGAAGCCCCTTCCGAATGAGGACCATGTCGCATTCAGGCAGTTTTTTATGAACACATGCTTTCCCTGTGCCTGGGGTGTGATCTTTCACTTTTAATATTCATAGTCTAGATTTAATACCTGATAATTTCTAAAGGGATGAAAAGTCAGATCTCCCTCTTTCACTGATGGGGGGGGAAAAACAAACCAAAAGAAAACAAAGGCCTTTTTTATCGTTCTGTGGCAATAGAGTCACAAATGAAATACTTAGATCACCTTTGCTAAACCATCACCCATAAAATGTCATAATATGCCATGCAGCATCGTATCCATGCTGGCACAGAAAGAAGTACAATTTAATAAGAATAAATCTCGTATTTCTCTAGGATAGATGCCCTCTAGGATCACTTAATTAACCTAACAGTAACCACGAGACACACGTCTTTCTTTGCATTATAGAAGGATAGACTTGATTTGAACTTTCCTTCAAATCTTTGAATAAATACATTCAAAGATCACATTAAGGAAAATAAAACCGTAAGCTCAGCCTAACACATCGTGTATTTTAGATCAAAATACTAATATTCAGCGTTTCTTTTCTGTAAGCGATTTTTCACCCCTACCATCCTACAATACCTTGGATAGTTATTGTATCAGGCACAGAACAATTGCCTTGATATCAATAGTTCACTACATAGACCTTCTAAAGACTATTTTTGTTAAAAAATTTTTTTTTAGTTGTACATTCGGAGCTTGGGATGACGGTGGAATAATATCAGCATTTCGACACTAAATATTCCCTCACCGCTCCTTTCTTTTTTTTTTTTTTTAAAAAAATTTAGCTTCAGATAAGATGTCCTATTACATTCAGAAATCCCAGACCGGGAGTAGCCCACTCAGCTCGGCT